TGATGCCATGGCACTCTACCCAGGGGGATAGCCTGAGGCTCTGTCTCCAAAAAAAAAAAAAAAAAAATGTCAAGGTTGGCTTGGTGCCCATCACAATGGTTAGGGCACCAGTCACATGCACCAAGGCTGGTGGGTTTGAACCCAGCCTGGGCCAGCTAAACGACAACTGCAACCAAAAAATAGCTAGGCATTGTAGAGGGCACCTGTAGTCCCAGCTACTTGGGAGGCTGAGACAAGAGACTCGCTTAACCCCAGGAGTTCGAAGTTGCTATGAATTTGACGCCATAGCACTCTATCGAGGGTGATAAAGTGAGATTCTATCTCTTAAAAAAAAAAAAAAAAGACATTATGGGAACTTTTAGCAAAACTTGAATAGAATCTGAGGATTAGATGGCAGAACTATATAAATCATACTTTATTTTGAAGTATGAGAGTATAAGTGTCATATTGTGAGTATAAGAGAATGTCTTCGTGAGAAATACACACTTAAATGTGATGGAGCATCGAATCAGCAACTTACTCTCAAATAGTCCTGGAAAAATGTTCTTTATTCTGTTCTTGCAGATAGTTTAATACCATCAGAGTGAGGCCTATATTCTTCCTTGGTGAGGGGGGATGGGATCCAATTTCTAAGCAGCTAAGTGGACAAAGTTTCAGATGGAGAAAACTACTCAGGAGCAAAAGTTTTGTTCTCTAGTTGGGGACATTGTATTTATTATTACCAAGAGGCAAGGAAACGAGCAATTTATGTTAATTTATGTTTACGTGGTTAGCCCAAAGTAGATGTTCTCACCCTTCCTATTGGAAGCACCTGGAGAACTTTATAAAGTTCTTTTTTTTGTTTTGAGTCAGAGCCTCAAGCTATCCCCCTGGGTAGAGTACCATGGCATCAGAGCTCACAGCAACCTCCAACTCCTGGGCTTTTCCTGCCTCAGCCTCCCAAGTACCTGGAACCACAGGCACCCACCACAATGCCCAGCTATTTTTTTTTTCTTTTGGTTGCAGCCGTCATTGTTGTTTTGGTGGGCCTGGGCTGGATTTGAACCTGCCACCTTAGGAGTACGTGGCTGGCACCTTAGCCACTTGAGCCACAGGCACCAAGTCAGAACTTTAAAAGTTCTGATGCCTAGATTTCATGCCAGGATACTCAGCTTTAATAGTCTGGTGCTTTTTCTTTTTTCTTGTAGAGACAGAGTCTCACTTTATTGCCATTGGTAGAGTGCCGTGGTGTTACAGCTCACAGCAACCTCCAATTCCTGGGCTTACGCGATTCTCTTGCCTCAGCCTCCTGAGTAGCTGGGACCACAGGCACCAGCCACAATGCCTAGCTATTTTTTGTTGCAGTTCAGCCGGGGCTGGGTTTAAACCCGCCACCCTCGGCACATGGGGCCGGGGCCCCACTCACCGAGCCACAGGCACTGCCCATAACAAACTTTTTATAGTTCTATATAGGTCCAACGTGGGTCTCACTGAGCTAAAATCAAAAGTGTCAGCACAATAGCTCTGTCTCTACAAAAATAAAAAACCAAAGACATGTCAGCAGGGCTTCATTCCTTTCTGGAGACTCCAGAAAAGAATCATTTCTTTGCCTTTCAAGCTTGTAAAGGCTACTCACATTCCTTGTCTGGCTTCCTTCCTCTGTACAGTAATTGCATCTCTCTTCTGCCTCTTTTGTGTTTTTGGAACTCACCTAGATAACCTAGGCTAATCTCCCTGTTTTAAGGGCATCTGATTAGCAACCTTCATTCCTGCATAATCTGCAGTCTTAATTCCTTTTGACCTAACATATTCGGAGGTTCTCTGAAAGCATCTTTTTTTTGGAGACAGAGCCTCAAACCGTCCCCCTGGGTAGAGTGTGCCATAGCATCACAGCTCACAGCAACCTCCAACTCCTGGGCTCAAGCGAGTCTCCTGCCTTAGCCTCCCAAGCAGCTGGGACCACAGGCACCCACCACAACGCCAGCTATTTTTTGGTTGCAGCAATCATTGCTGTTTGGTGGGCCCGGGCTGGATTCGAACCTGCCACCTTAGGTGGCGCCTCAGCCACTTGAGCCACAGGTGCTGAGCCCTCTGAAAGCATCTTGAAGATTTTTCTTTCTTTGGGAATAAATTTGTTAAAATTTTAAAGAGAAAAATCAAGGTCTTGGAAATGTAGGAGGGAGAAGACTGGATTAATGATGTGTGGAGTCAAAAGCACTCCCTAAACACTTTGAGTTACAAGAGAGGGGAAAGGCAAGTGTAGGCCCCAGACAGGGATGCCTTAGTGGCAGCACCAGACCAGTCTTAAAGATAAGCTATTGGAATCTTTTTGAGAACAGCATTTAAGATGGGAGTGCCAGGGTTAGATTTAATAGATGCCTATCTGAGGATTATCCTTCCCAGAGGAAAGGGCTTCAAATGACAGACACACATTTGGGCATTTCTTGGAAACAGAGCTAATGACAGCAAAGAATGGAAGCAATAGCTTTGACTACACCTTCAGTACAGGGTAAGACAAGACAGGGAAAGGGTTTTTTTTCTTTGACTCTCCCATCATCAGTTCACACCAGAAGGTCTGTTTGAACAACCAATTTTGTAGAGATAGTAACTGAAGCTACCTCTGGCTAATCTCTGTACAAAATGAAAAGTTATTTCCATTTTATAGATATACAGATAAGTTTTTTTTTTTTTTTTGAGACAGAGCCTCAAGCTGTCCCCCTGGGTAGAGTGCCGTGGCATTACAGC